TTGGTGGCTTCGTCATAGCACTTTTACATATTTATCCTTCCAAAGGACAAAAAATAGCATACTTGCCCTTATAAATTATATATTATCAGTATAATAATTATATATTATCAGTATATTAGATTTGAGATTTTATAATTTATAAATAATTGTGTAAAATATTATCGTTAATTATATAATATAGTAAACTTTAAAAAAATAAGATTTATAAATAAAAATTTAAATACTATAAATTTAATTAAGAATATGATTTCTCGCCTTCTCTTCTCCTATTTTGACTTGTCTTCTCCTAAGAGATGTCTTTGTGGAACATTTAGGAAATAAGCTTTCGTTGAAATGAGTACTCGATTTCTCGCTTCCTCTTCTTCTACTTTGACTTGTCTTCCTTCTCAGGTATGCCTTTGTAGAACATTTAGGAATTCACCTTGCCTCAATTTTATGCACAGAGACGACAGCTTCTCTCTGCACAATTTATCTCATAGGACCCAACAGGCTCACAACAGCAGGAGAAATCTTTAAATGCTGGTGAGTTGTTTGGTCGCTCATGGAGGTGACGGCACAGAGGAGATTGGGGAATGGGGGATTCTGCTGTCTCTTCTGCTGCTTTCCATGCTCTTGTCTTCTTCTTCCTTGACATATCAAACTCCGGATTGAGAGAAGGAAGAGGAAGACAGGAGGCCTCGGCCACAGCTCGATATGACTTTATTGTTGACCCCATTGTTGTACTGCAACTATGACAGAAAGATAACTATCACTGTGATCAGTCATGGAGAGACTCCAAGGTTGCACTTACCTTGGCCATGGCATCAACAGGAAGAACTGATAAAAGACAAGTAGCAGACCTTCATAAGTATTTCAAGGATCACGACAGGTTCCTAATCCAACCAAACCTAACATTGACTGAGATTTGAAGGTTCATGCATAAGATGATACAAGAAATATTGTATGCTATAGATATCAGCATATATCTTATATTGTTAAAGAGACAAGTAGTAGACTAATATATGGTCAACTGTTGCAGTATTTAACCTTGTCATTCTATTCCAATTAAGCCTGTACTTACTGAAGATGCTAAACATCAGCAGATTTGTAAGTTAGGAGGAGAAAGGTTATCGCATGGTAAGTCTCAAGGTCGTGTACTTGAATCTCCATGCTCATGTCCCCAGCATTTGGCATTGGAGACCCAAGAGCAAGTGTTGTGATGATGCAGTGAAGGTGGTGGAGACTGCTTGATGGTCAATTCAACTCTCAAGTGAAGGGTGTCATCGATGAAGAAGAGGGTGTCCTCTGCCTAAACTACATCGAATGACTTTGATGTTGTAGAGCCAACTTGATTCGGAATCATCTTTATTGTTGGGAACGAGTAGGGATAAAATAAGTGAGATATATCCGTCTCCTTCACCATTTGTCGTATGCAAATCGAAGCTACTGGCGGACGATAGCGAGTCCCTGGAGACCGAGGAGACACCAGCGGTGGTGCCGGAGCCCGTCGAAGAGCAGTTAGCTGCTTCGACCGCGACCGAGGCCGCCAAAGGGGAAGACGTCTTCGCGGTCGTACTGGTGAGTCAAAGATTGCATCTTGATTAGTGTTCTTTCTCCGGAGAGTCCATGCTTTCTTGGAGATTTTTCTTCCTTGGCATCATTATCAACTTCGTTTCGAGTTTCTGATCTTTTTGGGTAAAATGTTCAGGTCGGGTCGCGGCAGTACATTGTGTTTCCTGGACGGTTCATCTACACCCAGAGGTTGAAAGGTGCCAATGTTGATGATAAGGTTACACGTTTATTTATTGGTGATTGTTGTCCTTTTCAAGTTTTGTGCACGCAACTTTTGTTCATAATTTCAGGATTTTGATGAATAATATTACTGTATGAAAACTCTTAGCTGATTTCTCACTTGGTTTTCTAATTTTTCTCTCTTTTGCTGACCGTCAAATGTGCTTCACATTTGATCCATATTGGAATCTATTGGGAAGAAACATGTTAAAACGGAATATTCTTTTTCCTCTTTGTTTATTAAAATGGGTTCCTCGTCAAAATATCAACTTGGTATCCAAATAAAAATATCAACCAGCACAGGATAAACAATAGAGCAAAAATCAATCAGACCAAATCTTTTTAACGTGAAAAACCCAATGTGAGAAAAATCACGGGACCGTACTCCACCTCAAACTTCCACTATCAATAATACTGATAACAGGTTTACAGTAGGTCTTCTCTAGAATAACTAGAGGATCAGAATAACATCAAGAACGTAGATCTTGGCTCAAGAATAGCATATTTTCATCATATACGTTGATCTCCTCCAAAGAGAATTCTAGGTCTCATAAAGTGAATATCACAGGAAAGTACATTAGAGAGGGTAAACTGTAGATCAACATCGTTAGGATTGTAGAGTTTGTTGCAATGATTCTCCACATAAAATTTGGGTCGAAACTGACAACGTTGGGCCACCGATCGTCAAGCAAAAAACTAAGAAACCTTACTTTCTCTCTCCTCTTTTTTCTACACGCCGCCGCACGCTTTTTCTGCATGCGCACACACTGCACTCTCACCAATTTTGCTCTTTCTCTGTTGATTTCTTTGATTTGGGCTCATGACCCAAATTTGTATGGCCTCCAAGTCCACATATGGGCTGAATCTGTACGCAGATTATTCTAAACAAAGTGCTATTTGGTTGGCACTCGAACAAAAGGCATACATAGGAGAACCAGCTGTATCTAATGCTGCTGTACATGCTGTGGTCGAGGAACAGATTTTCTTTTTGTTTTTCTCAGCAGCTAATGGAACTTCATATCAACTGCTTTAACTTGCATCTTCTCCTCTGTTTCTCGTGTAGGGATTAGATCGTAAAGTTATCGTTTTCAAGTACAAGAAGAAGAAGAAGAACCATCGTGGCACCATTGATCATCGACAGATACCTCATTGTACAAAAAATGTTTATCTGAATCATGAATCAGAAATCATCCACTGCCACTGTAATATTTGTCAAGATTGATGAAATTTTAACGATCATGAGTGCAGCCAAGAACACGGATAACGATCACCGGCATAACCAGACATCAAGACTTCCCGGCTGAAACTATGCCCGAGACATCACCTGCTTAAGGTGAATGGGAGAAAGGGAAGCAAGCCTGTAATCTAAAGCAGATTTCTTAAAGCAGGATGCTAAAACTTGCTGCCATCTGTAGTTATTTGGGGGCTCTTCCTCAGTTGCAGATGTCTTTGTAGATTGAATTGCTTGTTGTTGTAGCCATAAAATGACCTGAACTTTCCTTTCTCCCATTTCCTCTGCTATTGAAGCTGCATATCTGATCGATAATGCTTCTGCAAACAGAGGGCTGTTCTTCAATTTATTTTTAATGGAAAATTTCAATATTCATCAGATATATTGGCAAGTTGGCATCCATAGATTACGTATTTAAAGCTGATGTACATCTTGTCATCGACAATTAAGCATTTTGATTAGAACTTTTAAGAATGGATTCTTGGCAAACCATGGAGAATGTATCTGTCAAATCGATTTCTGCATTCAAAAGCTTCTTTTGATAGTTGTGCATTCAAACCACACTATCAAATCCCCGTGTGAGCTTTACCTTTGTTAGCTGTCACCACGGCACTCATGCGTCTCTATTTCCTTCTGTCATTTACTCGCACCCTATGAGTTGTTATCATGTTGCAAAGTTTCTTCCATTACAGACCCTTCTTTTCTTTCTTCTCCCACATTCTAAGCTCCATTTCTTCAGGGGATTTATGGTGTCAAACTCTGATATTTCAGCCAAAACATCCATAACTTTCTACTCAAGAAATCACACACTCAAAATCCTACTTCCAAGTGTGCCACTGCTGCTACTTGCGTCTTTAATCTTCTACTATACTTTAATCTATCGCAGCCCTTGCATGGCAAGCTCTGGAGAGTTTGGTTTGACTGTCACCTGCTCCCTGCGTAATCCACGCTAGGTTTGCAGCAAGACATTCGAAGGTCAACGAGTACGTGTACTAATCAAGTCCTTTTCACAGGCTTGTTGGTTTGTGATTTAGACTGCCGATGCTAATGCTGCTCGTCTGTGTCGTTGAGCTGTAATATGTGACCTGGTTCCTTTCTTGTTCTTATCTGTGCCACAATCCAAGATTTAATTTCCCTGTGTAAAGACGTATGACGAATGATAATTCCATGTTCAGGCGATTCTTACAAATCAATCCACATTTATATGAAATGGGAAGTGCCGAACGGTTATGAATCATCCGCGCAAGGTTGCACTGAGCTATCAGATTCCATAAATGTTGAAAGAAACCTGAACTAGTGTTCTTCTTCTTCCTCCTCCATCAATGGCGATGCCTGATGAAACATGGGCGCTGTCGAACGGCGACGAGTCTTCCACGCAACGCAGCACTGAGCTATCAGATGCGTAAGTGTCGAACCAACCCAGAATAAAGAAAGAAGAAGAAGAAAAAGATGGAGGTCATCATTCGTACTCATTCCTGTGCGTGGTGGATGTGTATTGAAGACAGCATAGAATTAGTTCATAGAGCACATGGGGAGGCCATTATTCTGGAGCGGTAGGGAGTGTCCTTCCTTCCACCTACCTGGAAGAGCCTTGTCCTGTACTGCCTCTCTCCTTATAAATGGGAGACAGAGAGGAAACGATGCTTCGAGCACACACACCGGCCATTATTGCAGTTTCTGCAGCAGGTCGGTGACGAAAGCTGGTGAGTTACTGCAAGGCTGAACGATCTCAAGCAGGAAGAAGAGTTTCCATTTCTCTTCCTCCTTTGTACGCTTTTGTATTCTCTGTTCTTCTCCTCTTTTGTTTGTCTGCTGCTTTTGTTATGCATGTCATTCTTCTCCTTCTTTGAGTAATTCCATGGAACTCTTACTTTAACGAGATTGGATGCCACATTACTTTGATTGCCACACAACCTTCAGATCTGATGTAAATGTCTTCATTTTTGGAGGGGACTGCTTAATTCGTGATGCTTGATGACTTCCAAGACGAAGAACATTTAGTACATTACTCTTGCAGATTTCTTTCAGCTATATCAATTCAATTATGATGATCCATAGGAAATTAAATGGCTCACGTATTGTGATCGTGGAAAAACAAGAGCTTCATGAGAAAAATAATGCTAAAAATTTAAATAAAATTAAAATATGGTCTTTTTTATGGACCAAGAAATGGTTTTTAAGTAATTTGTGAGCCGCGTGTCGATGAGACAGTTGGCACGGCGACGCGCATCCCACCTACAGTTGGCACGGCGGCGGCGTGTCTCTGTTCAAGATGGGAAGGGAACACAAAGGTGGAAAGATTCTCTGGAAACCGTGTCCCGGCGCTGGTGTTCGAGCCGCTTCTCTTCGCGAACTAAGCGCCGGAGTTAGGGGTAGGTTCGTCCTGGCCTCGATCGCGGGAATCCGATCGAACGCGGAAGATCCGCGGGCGAGAGCCGGATTTAGGAAGCATTTATGCTCGATGGAAAGCAAACGAAGGCTTGCTTTCCATAGCGAAAAGGGCACAGGAATGGCAATGTACCGGAACTTCGGCCAAGTTCCTCGAAAAGCGTGCTCTTTTCCGGAGCCAGGGAAGCCCACCCCTCTCCGTGGCTGCGTGCCGTCGAAGATCATCGCCTTCTCGGTGCCAATAGATAAGAGGTAGAAGAGGTGGTCTCTTCTCGAACCGAAAGTTGGTTCTTTGGAAGTAAAAAAGATCCACTTTTTACCATAGGTATGCAGATTCTTAAACTCTTTTTGCTCTTGCAATGTGGTAGCTTTCTTTCAATGATACGAGCTAAAAAATTTCTTGGTGAGTGATCTACTTTCGATTCGTTTTTCTCATTTTTGTACCGCTTTCGCTCCCTTGTAATAAGGATGGTGGACTCATTGAATTAATCCTCTTGTTTATTTACCATGGAAGAACTCTGTGTCTGTTTTTGTTCATGAGCAAAATTATCCTTCGACGGTGTGAACTTAGGTTAGAGTGTTATGGCTCAGCAAACCGAGTGTCACTAATTTAAATTATCCTCGACATTTGCATTATCAGAACACGTCGTAGTTGAAGAATCTCAATTTCCATTGTATTAGTTCCAACTATTTATAAAAGGAATTCGGGAATCTTCTTCAGTTTTTGTGGTTGGAAGGACATGGCATGCTGTGTGATCTACAGAACTGCATGAAGGACATGGCATGCTGGATGAGTAGAGTTTCTTTCAAGAGGCCAAGGGGGGCGCTCCCATTTTGAGGAATCTTCTTCAACCTTTTGTTGATCCTTACTGATCCTACTCTGCTAGCTTGAACTTTGTTTCAAAATTCGTTTAGTCCACCTACCTTACTGGAACATCAGATCTAGGGTTACTTGAGAAATCATCAGCTGGAAGAGTAATCATCACCCTTGTTTCTTTTTGTTGTTTTTATCAGTACATGTGATAAAAATAGTAATTTTCTATGCTTAGTATTTTTTAGCATATTTTTCTTGTCATTCTTATGCATTTGAAGTCGTCGTTCTAGATGGTCTTTAGGTCAATTGGATAATATATTCTTGTTAATTCAAATGTTTCCAGCAACAGTTTCTTTCATTAGAATCATTATTAAATCGGTCACATAAAATTTATACTACTGATCAACCATCTGTTTCGTCTTTTTCTTCTTCATAGGAAAGATTTCACAATAGATTTTACATGCTTATATATGTTCCTTTTCTGTCTTAGGTTTAAAGGTTCAGATGGATGGCAAAGAGTACCAGGGTTCATCGAGTCAGGGTTCCCCTGACCCTGAGAGTTGTCCATCTCTTTTCAGGTACATAACATACAAATCAGTTGCTGGTTTTGATGTTACTCCCAGCCCTCGAGGAGATCCCGCATTTGCTGAAGTAAGTCATGATATTTAATGACTAATCGATTTTTAATTCTCCTTGGCCAACTTATGTGATGTTCTACTGGATGCTAAAGTTCTTGCAAGACACTTTTTTTTCCCCCTTCTGTTTCGAAGCATCCACCGAGAACACAAGATGGTTCGGACAAACTAGCTGATACCACTGACCAGTTTCTGCGGATGTAGGTTCTGACCTATTTGCCTTCATATGAATTTCATGGAATTAATTTCACCATTGGTTGCTAAACCTTGGGGCAAATTCGATTGGGTATCTAAACTTTCAGTTTGTGCCTATATAATGTCTCAATAAAATCCTACCATAAGCTTCCAAAAAACAAACCTTTATGAAAAGCTGATTTCGCTACACAATAAGGCTTTACTTTCTAGTTTGACATACATATCAGCAAGAGAAAAAAAATTATGATATGCCCAATATGTTCCGGAAAAAGAAATTGTCGCATTGAACTTTGCCCACTTTGATTTACTAGCATATATGAGCACACCGGGTAACATTTCTTGTTGACATTTATGATAGTTTAGCAAGATCACTGTGCAATCAGGCTGACTTTTGGCAAGATTTATGTCTCCAGTTCAAATTTGTCTCGAAGTTCAACTTCACCCTTTGTCATGTAAATGTTTTGTGTTCAAATTGTTTGTAACTTTAAGTAATATCGTTTGCTATGAAATAACTAATGTAGCTGTTTCCTTTTCTATTTCAGGTGCCAGAAGCTACTGATGATGATATTAAGGCCAAATCGCTTTGCACGCCATCACTAAGTTTGCCAATTGAAATGATTGGACCTCATCATGCGCGTTCTATTTCAATCAGCATGCCTACAACACCTTCTGCATTTCATGTAGAACATTCAAAAGCAGTCCTAGAAAACGACAATGGTGTATCATATGCTACTGGTGGGCAGACATATCATCCAATTGGTGCTACTGCTAGCTTGCTTCAACAAAAACAAGCAAAGTTCCATTCTCAACCTATACCGGTCGGAAATTCCCACACTAACATGCCTCCAGATATGCAGTCGGATCATTTGGTGCGCCTGCAGCAAATGCCAAGGAACTGTAGATTCAAGGACAAACGCTATGACTCCTTCAAGACATGGTCTGGCAAACTTGAAAGGCAGATATCTACCCTACGTGGAAAGCCACAGGAACCGGAGGAGGTTAATGACTCGAAGAACACTAAACCAGAGGCCGTGCCAGCAGACCGCTTCTTTGATGCCTTAGAGGGGCCTGAACTGGACAAGTTAAAGGTACTGTTTTGAACTCTATTATTTATGAGAATTAGTAATTTGCTTACTCTCAATATTCGTAAGAGCCACATACAATTAACTGATGTATAATGTCTATTCTTGCACCTAAATAGCACTAAGATAAGAATTGCATACCATCAACTTTTTGCAGGCGTCAGAAGAGTTGGTTCTTCCTGAAGACAAGAAATGGCCTTTTCTTCTTCGCTTCCCTGTGTCCTCCTTCGGTATGTGCCTTGGTGTCAGCAGCCAAGCTATCCTGTGGAAGACGCTAGCTACATCACCATCCACATCATTTCTGCATATAAGCCCGACCGTAAATCTCGTTCTCTGGTGCATCTCACTTGCATTGATGGGCATTGTGTCCGCCATCTACGTGCTGAAGATCATATTTTACTTTGAAGCAATCCGCCGGGAGTACTATCACCCCATCCGAGTCAACTTCTTCTTTGCTCCATGGATAGCCTGCCTCTTCTTAGCAATCGGTATGCCACCCTCGGTTGCCGTCAATCTGCATGCCGCTCTATGGTACGTGCTGATGGCTCCAATTTTCTTCCTCGAACTAAAAATCTACGGCCAGTGGATGTCGGGAGGGCAACGCAGGTTATCAAAAGTAGCAAATCCTTCGAATCACCTATCAATTGTGGGCAACTTTGTGGGGGCTTTGCTTGGTGCATCTATGGGGCTCAAAGAAGGCCCCATTTTCTTCTATGCCGTCGGGCTGGCTCACTACACTGTACTCTTTGTGACCTTATACCAGAGGCTTCCAACAAACGAAACACTTCCGAGGGATCTTCATCCAGTTTTCTTTCTGTTTGTGGCTGCTCCTTCTGTTGCTTGCATGGCGTGGGCCAAAATAACCGGAGACTTCGGTTATGGCTCGAAGATTGCCTACTTCATCGCGCTGTTCCTCTATGCTTCTCTTGTGAGTTCCATGCACCCTATAGACTTGTTTTTCATTTAATGATTAGTATTCCAGTGTGTGTTCTCATCATTGTTTTGCTTTGTGATTTCTAACCATTGTTTGCATCTCCACTTGCAGGCTGTACGTATTAATTTCTTCCGGGGATTCAGGTATCATGATTTGTTCTTCAGATTAGTTCATCTTCTTGCTAGTTTCTGCTCCCAATCTCACTCTTCTTCTTCTGTTTGACGTTGCAGGTTCTCGCTAGCTTGGTGGGCTTACACTTTTCCGATGACCGCAGCGGCCATCGCAACCATTAGGTATTCGACGGAAGTTAAGAACGTATTCACTCAGACATTATCTGTTGCACTCTCTGTTATCTCGACCATTACAGTAGCAGCTCTGCTTTTTTCGACAGTCGTTCATGCCTTTGTCCTCCGTGACCTTTTTGCAAATGACATCGCCATCGCCATCTCCGGTAAGATAGCGAAATCGAGTACGAAAGACGACGCCCGTATAATAGCATCGAGCTCAAATACCGCAGATGTTGAAGCACCTGTTGACGGCCTCCTGTTGCCCGTTTTATCCGGTGAACCAATGATCTGAATCACATCATGGAACAGAGTTTGGAGGATCATAGTAAGTCAGCTACCTTATGGATTCTTGGAGACGAAGAATGCACTTTTCCTACAGTGAAGAAGATGGGCATGAATGGAGTTCTCATCAAGTGATGTTTTGGTAGATGGCAATCATGATGGACAGGCCACACTCATTCAATTAGATTGAAGGAAAAAGTTGACAGCTTTATAGACAAGATAAAGAAAGCGTTCTGACCGAACCACAGATAAATCATTGACAGTACTAACAATGCCCATGATCTAGTGCTTCTTGGCCTTCAGTGGACCTCGACGGATCATACTGAGAACCTTGGCATCAAACACCGCATACTGCTGCTTGATTCGTGCTATTGCCTTCTCTGCAGATGCATCGATCTTGTCCTCATACTTCTCGTAAAGAACAGGCACTGTGAGCAGTGTCATGAATGCTGGTTTTCCAGGAGAGAAAAACAACAACAATCATTCAGGCAGCGAGGAAAACAAAGCAAAATGGAAAGCTCAAAAAGAACTTACTTATGTAGACCAAGGTCAAGAAATTGACAGAGCTTCCTACAGTCGATAGAATCCAGAGCACAGCAATAACCTAAAAAGAACTTGAATGATGTATTACTGTAGAACAAACGTAAAACTATGAAGATATGATGATTTTGCTATCTGAGGAAGGCATCATTTAAGATCAACGCACAGCTAGAAACTTCTTTAGGTCCTGTCCCAGTGCGATCTCCCTAAGAACAGCAGAGGCCCCGTTCATCTCATTCCTCATATTGAGTGCAACTTTTATGGCTAGTTCTTCCGAAATGTTCACCTCTGGAATGCGTGGCGGAGATCTGAAATGAAAACACGCAACCATTAGCTCTATTCGAAGTGGATGATCTAAGAACAGTAGAGACCCTACTTGTTAATCAAGGTGCAAGCTTTGGACCATAAGAAGAGGACAAGTAAAGAGAGCATAAGGCCTTGGCAGATCAAAGTGAGAAGATGGTAGCCGACTAACTCGAACAGAGCCCAGATAGCGGTAGCACCGCTGAGCACTCCAGCTGAGATCTTCTTGTTCCTCCATAGCATAACATCAGCAGCTAAAATGAAGCAAACTGTAAATTTAGGGCCTAATCCAACAGTAAATTTAGGTTCTTGATTTCCTTGATCACATAAAAGTTCCTTTTGTGATAAGTTCTTTTATTCTTTATACAAAAATGTGTATTTTGATGAACAAACCGATCTAGAGTTCATAAGAATCTCGGCAAAAATAGAATTTTTTTTACCTAAAAACAATGAAAACATTAAAAGGAGGGAGACATTCACTGGCCTTGAAGGCACGATTATAATAACGCAAACTGGGGATTAGAGCCATAGAACAGAGAAGAGAGTCATTGGCATCTCGCCATTTTTCCTTCACCATCACCAAAAATTCCAAAACCCCAAGAACTTGCCAGAAGTAGAAATTCAACCCTTACAACAGTGACAACGAGAACACTAGCCCGGTCCGAAGGAAGTAAAGCATGGATAAAAAATCATGTTAGATCCGGTGTACACGGTTTCAAACGAAGTAGCCAATAAAAATTCGATCTTTTTTCCGGAAAGAAAGCAAAAATCGACCCAAAAATTTCAAGAACAAAGTGGTTTAACGGATCAAGAAGAGAAAAAGGGAGCTTCTTCGGTCGTTACTTCTGCCGCTGCCGAGGACTTGGTGGACAGGCCTCTCCCGGCTGAAGAGGCGGTAGGGTGTGACCTTGACGGAAGGTGATGCCCCGGGCTTCTCCGCATCGGAACCAGACGACAAGGAGGATGAGTCCTCGTGGCCTCGGGGCTTCTGCTGGTTCTCCTCCGTCAGGGCCGACTCCTCCGAGTGCTCCGCCATGGCCAACGCGTAAGTACCCCAACACCCACTCCAAGTGCTCGGCTTTCGCTCCTTTCTGCTCTGTGCTTCGCCGTGGTAATTTGAAGACGGGGCCTAGGGCGGCGGAGCGATGAGAGGCCGTCGGATGTTGACACGTGGGAGGAGCAGCAGCGCCCCGCTCCAAGTGCGTGGCGCAGCGAAGGCAACGGTGTCCGAAGGGGGGGGGGGGAAGCGGATGCGGATAATTTCATTACATCCGAATCCATTTCATACATTTGATCCGTTTAAATCCAATTTGGATGTCGATTTTTTACCCGATTTTAATAATTATAATCGATTTCGAGATGAAATCGATTTGGGTGGTATGAGTTCATACAACCTGTTCGTCATTTCTAATACGAAATAGGAATGACAGCAAATGTATATGGATATCAGAACCAATAATAATTATAATCGAATTTGGGATATATTCGAATGTGAGAGTTAGCATCTGATTCGGATTGAATAATTATAATCGAACCTGTTCTGCATTCGCAGTAGCAAATGTGGCCGATGACAGATACTGTGGCCCAAACAAACTACTAAATGAACCACTGATTTCAGCAACAAGAAATGGAGATAGTAATGAGCTCCACAGGCACTCTGACAACTGGATTGGCACTGTTGGTGATGATCCCAGAATGCAACCGAAAGAAAGACGAATCCATAGGCTCAGCTTAGCGTCATGGTTAAACAAATGACTCTGTAAAACTACCCTTGGCAACATTGCTTCATTGGGAGTGGCAGATGGAAAGAGATTGAAGAGCGGGGGGGATGCACTTGACATCCGCCGATAACGAGATCTCCACCACAACAAGAAGGTGGAGAATTGTCTGCAAACATATGCTTGTTGACTGGAAACTTACAAGGTGTAATAGATAGCCGTGTGATTCTTGAACTGTGTTTCGTAGGTGCATCGGTAGTCTACTTGGGACCGCCATCGACGACACGCCATGCATGCTTTCCTCGATCCCGTATGGTAACTGAGATGTCAAGACGCTATCCCTTTTTCCTTCTTCTTTCGGTCGCTCTGTCCCTTTCGCAGTTCGATAAGATAAGATCGTAAGAATAGTTCGAGCTTTATGGTAGACTTCTCCTTATCTCTTTGCGTCAGCTCCATCCCTAGCTATGGCTAGAAGCCTACAACTGTTGTTTTCTTGACTTTGGCAGATTGCATATGATTGGCGTGTTAGGTAGGAATGGAACAGCCACCGCAGACCAGCATCAAAGAACAGTAATTCTTTGATCTTGTCTTTGTTTCTTCTGCTTTGCTTTCTCTCACTGTATGCATGTGATTGAGGTCATAGGAGGATCTATTCATATTGTCCTTCTCATTCACCAAAAGATCAGCTGAAACAGGGAACCAAATCGCTCTTAGAAGTTCTTGTGTTAGAATAAGAGTGAAGGAAGACACAACAATCACACACACACACACACACTCTCTCTCTCTCTCTCTCTCTAGATGCTGGAAAAAGAGATGGGCATGCACATGTACAAGTACTACTTGTAAAACCAGTCGATCTCTCACAATCTTCTTGTTCAATCAAAACAACAGTTAACTAAATCGATCTGAAGCGGGAGAAGGTCATTAGCTATTTCTTCGTGGCCTTATAGCGTAGCTCGATGTCTTGCGCGATCCTCCATGCATCCAAAGATGCTCCGAGCAAGCCACGCTTCGTGAAGCCGACGGCATAGAGCCCGTTGCCCCCTTTCCACCCGTTCGGGAATGGCCTCCTTGGGAACCCATCCTTCTCCGAGAAGAACTCCCTCTCCTGCAACACCAGAACTCGCCTGATATGTGGACCGAACATGCATGATGTACTCATCGATTAATGCAATGTTTGGTACCTTCAGCCAACAAGGTACGTTGCTCTTGTAGCCGGTCGCCAAGATTACCGCGTCGAATTCCTCCGACCTTCCATCGACGAATTCTACTCCATGCCGAGTGAAACGTTCCACCGCAGGGCGCACCTGTGTTGCGTATGATTCATCATGAGAGTAATGCGATCATGCAACGTCTGGAGCTGGAATTTATGCTCAATGAACCTTGATGTCTCCGGACTTGATCTTTGCCAGGGTGCCAACGTTGAGCACCGGGGTCTTTCCGGTGAGCGACTTCAGCTCGAGGGGGCCGAGCTGGGGCCGCTCGAGGCCGAGCTTGGCTGTGTCGCCGAGCATGAGGCGCGCGACGAGCAGCAGGAAGCGGTCGACGGTCTTCATGGACAGCCACTTCATGAGCCACATGGACAGACCGAAGGTGGAGCGGCCGAGCATCTCCCGTGGCAGGATGTGCACCTGACGAAGGTAAAGCAACAGGAGAGATCAAAATGAGAGCAACAGCGATTTTGGATCGATGCACCGACCGGCCCCAGACACTCCAATCCTCGCCCATATCGCTAGTTGCAGTACATGCGCTCTCCCCATCCTCTTTCTATCTCCAACATAGTTTATTATGGCCACAAAAGGAAGAGGGATGCACGGAAGGTTCACTCGATGCCAAATCCCATAATATCGCGATTAGTACATGTTAGATGAAGCATTGAGATTGCTTTTGTTGTGGCAATCGTGACCCATGCATTTGTGTTATGATAACAGCCTTTACAATGGACTTTGTGGAGAAAATAATAATAAGAGGTAAACTCTATCAAAAATAGAGAGATGTACAGATAGAGAATGAATGCTTTAAGCATGACCAAATCTTTCACCTCATGCCATGAACTTGTTTCATATCCCATCAATGAGGATAAATACCAAAAGCACGTTTGCATTTGTTCATGGTGAGAGATAATAGTATAGTTAATGTTGTAGTGGGAGACATTAATCAGTAGCAACACCAATTAAACAATAGATTAATGGACCTGTGTTGTTAATCTTTTTCTATCGATGATCAGAAGAAATAATAGTAAGATTGTAGCAGAGCAATGAAGGACTCACCGAGTCTCTTACGACCATAAAAGGGTGCGCATTGTGATCGCAGAGATCCAAGGAGACCTCCATGCCGGAGTTACCGCAGCCGACGACGAGCACTCTCTTATCTCGATACGAGTCGCCGCTCCTGTACAAGCTTGTGTGCACAATGGGCCCCTCGAACTCCTCCATTCCGGCCATCTCCGGGACCACCGCCTCGGCGTTCTCCCCGGTGGCCACCACCAACCACCGGCACACGTACTCGTGCTTCTCCTCCTTACCCTCACCTTTCGCCGATGCCATCCGCAGCCTCCAGAAGCCGATGCCTGCGTCGTACTCCGCGGCCACCACTGTCTCATTGAACACGGCCTGGATGTTGAACTCCGCCACGTAGGCATCGAGGTAGGCGATGAACTGCTGCTTCGTCGGGTACGTCGGGAACCACGATGGGAACGGCATCAACGGGAGCTGGCAGAACTTCTTGGGGAGGTGGAGGCGGAGGCGGTCGTAGGTCTTGAGCTGCCAGAGCGATGCGATGCAGTCGGACCGCTCGAGGACCAAGCTCTGGATGCGTTTGCTCTTAAGGCAGGCGGCGACCGCCAACCCCGACGGCCCAGCGCCGACGATTATGGGGCCCGGGAAGAAGATGCACTTCTCGGCCTTCCCGGACTTCATCGACCTGAAGCAACTGCTGGAATTACTTTGGGGATGCAACCAAGATGGATCGTCGACTCTTTTGCTTTCAGGCTCCCTCCAAAAATCCATGAAAGCTTAACTGGTCACGGTAGTTCCTGTGAGCATCTATGATCCTTTGACGCTTCTTCTCTTGTTGGACTAAAAAGAAGGGATGGTGCATGGAGAGATAGAGAGATAGAGAGAGAGAGAGAGAGAGAGAGAGATCTAGAAAACCATGGAATTAGTTGTTCTTGAACTGTGGGTGGTTAATATATCAGAAGAATTCTATCACTCTTATCCAAACATGGTTTGACTGAGAGAAAACTAAATTGGGATTCTCCTGAAGCCTTATCCTTTTCTGGATCTCTATTATCTCCGGCGGAGGATGCGAGTCGAGCCCAAAGGAAGTGAAGAGAGAGAGAGAGAGAGAGAGAGAGAGAGAGCAGTATTAGTCGTAGTGAGTTAAAGATCGTTGCAAAGGGCTATTTAAACTGGTCATTGAGCTAAGCTTAACGCGATTTGCTATCTTAAGTGGACATGTAGATGTGACATCTGTAGCTTTCATGTTGATTGGCAGAATGAACACACACTGCACATGACCAAATTATGGCTTTTGGTGATGGAAGCTGTCTCTGCAATTCTGAAGGCTTAACATCTTTAAACAGCATTACATGGGTCAACTATAGTTCCACTGAGGTGACTTGCCATTAAACATGACCACAAGGTTATTGTGGTCTAAGACTATGGCAATTTAAATTGCTTTAACTGGATAATATATCTGATCATAACTGATGTCATTTGGGATGAGAGTGGATCACAGGAGTTCAAGAATTAATGACAAGACTAGCGGAAAAGCAGATGGATAAATGGTTGTACTTCTACTATACCAAACAAAATAATGTCCTTTATGTACTCAAGTATCTGCTCCCCTTTCCTTAGTTTCCACTTCTCGAACTGCAATTGTTAATGAATCTACAACTATAAGCAAGAAAGATCCACTCTCTCTCTCTCTCTCTCACTCACACATAGTATGGAAAAGCACAAGGCCAAAAATGACCTGCGGCACTGTGAGGATCCCCACGCTGAGTTGCCGTACGTAGTAGGTGTGTGGCATGCACGCGGTAGCAGAGAAAGGCAGAAGCCATGCAAGCGCTCGCTGGGCTTGCTCGGCTGTTCTTCTCCCACCGTCACAGGTTGAACTCTGCCTCAGCTTCAGCAACTGATGATGAATTCGCACACACCATTAATTTTTTCCCCAAGTGAAAGTTGCATTCGACTTTTGGAGTTCCGAGCTAATCTTCTACTGGTTATCACATTCAGCTTTAGCATACACTTGTGTAGTATCGGCTGTCGCTAACCCACTTCGAGCAAAGATATGTAATGGGATGAGCAAAAGGCCATCATTAGTATAAGATGGAGGTAATGACATCATGCCATTCTTCACTTGATACAAGTCCGGATGAAGCAAGCCATACATCGAAAATAATATACACACGGCCGCAAAACTATAGTGCAGTGTAGCCTAAAAATTAAAGCGCATGTGTAGGCCAACTTGCATTGGTAGAAAGTAACTAAGACAGCACTTGACAGTGAGTGGGATTATAGTGTCTGCTCCTGAGCTTCCCGAGTATTAAATAGGATTGGCTTTAGAAAGTAGAAGACATGTCTGTAAAGTCTCATCTTGTAAGCATTAACCAGTGATCTGATGCTGTTCAACTTTCAGATAAAAGCTATTTTCACTGCACAAGTGCTCCAGACGATGAGATATATGATTTAACCAACTGAGTCGTCTCAGTTGACTTGCAGCAACCGAAAAGATTGAGAATGAGCAATGAGTTGCTGCAATGGTGCATCGTCCTTTGTTATTATTATATGAAGGGGAGGTGTTGCTGTGTGTGATATTTTACAGGGTCACTTGAGCACTAAGTTTAATGTGCTTATCCTACAGTCTCTCCATTTTGCCACCGTCAGATAAGCATGACCATAGAAGGTTCATATTCGTACCCAAATATGGAACCCCTCACTCGATCCTATCGACTACCTCTTGGATGCATGCTGATGCCCGATTGGTCAGTAATGCTATTGCTTCGAGTTGAGCCTACCACCTCGCAAAAGTTAATTGAGTTGCGATTGTATATTCCATCATTTGGTTCATTAAGGAATCTCCCTCCTCATAGCACTCATTAAAAGAACTAGTAGTTTACGATTGAAAACAACATAAATCAAGCTTTGTTTTGAGCATGCAGAAATATGCTCTCCATCATGTCAATGATTGCTACAGATTCTGATATAAATATGCTCATGCAAAGCTCTTGAGAATCTTCCCAAAGCATGAGATTGAAACACAATTATGTTTGGTTATGATGATGCTGAAGAAAGAAGGGTTTCGAATTCCCTTCAACCAACAAGATGGAAGTGAGCTTAAGACACAACAGGGGAATGGAAGAAGAAGAAGAAGAAGAAGACAGCCACTTCCTGGAAAAGGAACGATGGTGTGGCTCATGACAAAGTTTCATAGAGCTGTGAAGGATGAATCCGTCCAAAACATCGGCTCCGACGTGGCCACCACAAGAGGATGATAGCAGACAAACAAGATCTGAGATAAGAAGAACCGACACCGCACTTCCCTGCTGAGCAAAAGAGCTGTTGATTAATGAATGGAATAAAATGAAACATAAGGTCGTAAGTAGAACGCAGAATCTATAAATCATCATGTCCTCCACTGACACTGTGAGCTTTTTTGCAGGGATGTGAGGAGTATACCCCATGAGCTCCAATATATAGACAATCGTGGAGATGCAGCATTTCCATGATTGCCAAGTGCATCTGCTTTGCGGTAGATCCTGGGAAGGTGTGGCACCAAAACCACATTCTATTTGTACTTTCACCGTAAAGACAGAATAGAGCAATTCTACTGGTAATATCGACGGGGAGGATTGCGCGAGAGCCTATCAGAGTTTGGCTGGCTGAAGTACCCGATCGAACATCTAATGTGTCGTTAGGTAGATGAAATCAAAGTTATGGTGGTGGGAGATTCGACACATTATTGTAAGTCTATTTAATGAGGTAAGATATATTATAGATATGATTGGATTTTGATAATAGTTATTTGTCAATAGAAAATAAGTTCATATTAAAATAGAATTCCTTAGAAGATAATCTTGATTGGAGGAACTCCCCTAATAAGTTATCACAGACCCTCTGCTCTCGTAAATAAATAGACAAAACTTCTAGAGGTTAAAAAAAAGAGGTATCTTAGTTCAGAGATTAAAGTTTTTCTTTCTCTTCCTAATTCATCAATCTAGGTAGTTTTGTGAAAAGATAGGAAAAGAGGAAAATGATTCATTTGCACGTTACAAAGTAATATCATATTAACAAAGAAAACATCATAATTAATACAAGGATCAAATCCATATTACACATCATATATATTTTTTATTTTTTCTTTATCTTCTTTTGATATCACATGTCATATTATATACCTATATATTCTTTTATTTATATTAAAAATAATAATTATGAAACTTAGATATATACTAAACTCGAGGGAATTAACCTCATTTTATATGAAGAAGGTAAACTTAAACCGTCATCCCATATATCACATCACATATTTATCATTATGTAACACATCATCTTTGTTCACATAATATTCATAAAAATTAACTTATTTTAACAAAAATATTATTTTTAATTCTCTTAATTAAGTTATTATTGAATACAATTTATATTACCTCATTGCCTCCACCTTAGTGGATTTAAACATTATCCGATTTAAAGTTTTATAACCTTTGGATTCTGGAATAAGGTATAAGTATGGTAAGGGAACTAATCAATAACCTAGGTTAAATTAAATTTATATATAATAAACATTTCGATCGCCAAATTATGATTCATGATTTTTGATGCATGAAAATAAACTAAATAAATAGTAATCTAACTATTTCATAACACAAGTAATATAAAGGATCATCATATCACTTGTCAAATAAAACAAAATGTACACTCTAAACACAAGATTCATCCTACTTAAACAACTCATTAAATATATATATATATTTAGTGAAAATTTAATAGCATGACAATATGTCTCCATACACTAAGTGTAACTTAGGTTATTTAAACATAACATGAAATTAATAATTAACCACATCGGAATCTTTAACACATAAAATAGAACATTCATTATTTTACACGATAAAACTGATATTTTGAGCATACCAATTCTCCACGCAACAACATATATGCTTCAAAAATTGTGCCACTCAAACGTATATTTCTATTTCAATTAATTAAATTAATCATTAACGAAGAAGTTATCCATATTTTATTTTAATTACGTTCTTTATGTTATATTTCATTCAATTATATGCACTATAAATACTCATTCAATCAAATTATGTGTTGCCGGCTAGTCTCAATCAACATCTCAGTTTAATTTAGCGAGTCACTCGCTTAATCAACCTGCAACATTTCATACAACTTTAACGGGCCCATTAAGGCCTTATGGGCCACTGAGGAAAAGCCCACATGAATGGAGTCAACTATATGCTTTGGTCGCTCGTCTCTATCCCCTCGATCATTAATTAGGAGAGCGAAGAGTCTATTAGATCGCTATCCTTAGTCAGGCAAAGCTTGCATACAATAACGAGTTCTTACCTCATAATTAGAATTAGAAGCCGCTGTATTCATATGTACTTATCATGTCCACACCATTGGTTTCTTGATTGGGGATCACAAAGCTATTAGAGTCGTTTCAGAACAAGATTTGAAGGCATAAAGAGAGATGAGAGAGGATATCTCGTACTATTTTCGACATCCTGTTGAAAGGAGTTCAACATCTCATGCGTGATCATCGCAATGGGGCTCCTTCCGCTTTCGTTCGGGTACCTAATGATTAATCTGCTATTCTCGAAGAAACTGCGACATGTTTTGGGATGATCTCTAAGTTTCAAGCTTGTTCTTTTGATGTCCTCAGAGTTGTACACAATAGAAATCTTCGAGGCTTTTCTTGCATTCACGTCCTGATGCAAAGCACCGTCTGCTACATGATGGCAGGTGGTTTCCGCAGCGGTGTGTGAGGAGGGGCTTGTCGATTGCCGATGACACGGTTGAGTATGGAGAAAAGCTCATGTTAACTGTGAAAGATCTTATTGAATCATACAGAACCGTTTCCATCTCCGGCTTCTCCTTTCTTCTTCCTCTTGTCCTATTATTATGTTTATGTCAGCATGGTTTGACCAGTTGAAGATCGTCCTGTGTTGATATCTGAACTCTACCAATCACCAAGAAAATATCGTTGTGGAAAACACGAAGAACCTGCAACGCAGATCAGCAGCAATCCACGAACGCTCACTGTTGCGATCGAAGAGTTGTCAGCGGCGACGAACAACTTCTCCGATGACAATTTACTGGGAGAAGGTTTTAGGAATTCCTTGGATTCTGCAAACGGCTTAGCATAGTATTTGCATGAGGACTCTGAGTTTTTATCCTTCATGTCCTTGCTATATGTGGCAATCAGCTCGAATGATGCTCATCAAGGATTGCGGTCAATCTTTGATGGTGGAACTTTGTAGGCCAACAAAGGATCATTCACCGGGATACTAAATCAGCCAATATTGTCTGTCCTGGATAATTCTTTTAGGGCAAAGGCAATGTTCTGATGGCAGAAATGAGACCTAAACTTTGACACCTTGAAGAACTCATGCAGATTGCAGATTTCGGGATCGCAATGCGTTTCTCTGATGAGAAAACGCATTTTTCGACTCTTGTGAAGGGCACTTATGGGTATATGGATCTCATGTCATATAGTTCCACTCCCGATCAATCTCATGCTGATGCACAGATACCTGGCGCCAGAATACGCTGCGACCGGGCAGCTTACGGACGAATCTGATGTCTTCTCCTTCGGAGTGGTGCTTCTGGAACTGATCACTGGAAGAAGGCCTACAGGTTTGGCTGATTGGGTCAGTGTTATATACAACTCTCAGCTTCGAGACAAAACCATTATTGCCTATTGTTTCGTCGACAAAACCATCGATTGCGTCGAGGCAAATGCCGTCTTCATCTCTTCTTTACACGAAAGAAGAAACAACAATAGTCCTACAGAGTTGGGGAGAATGGTTGTTTGACTTGTCATTGTACCATGAGATCCATTATGGTACGAGGACAAGTCAAGCGATTGTTTATCTTCTGTCTTGATGCGAGGGAGACACATCAGATTATCCTATACGCAAAAAAATTCATCAGCAGATAGGGAAGAATCGTCCTGTTCTGATCTTTCCTGCAACTATCATTGATCTGTTGCTCTTTCATATTAGGTTCTGAACCTCCGTCGAATAATTGTTTGAGCTCAAACAGTAAACAATGACGGGTTATGACAGAGACGAGGACAACAGTGTTGCATGCTTATGAAACCTATCAATCTCACAGAAGACAAACAACATCATGTGCTTGATGAAGAACTTGATATTTTCATGGGAGACAACATCATGTGTGGCCAAAATGACGGCGAAATCTTGTCATATTGGCTGCTCAACCTTTTTTGTGTTCCGTCACTCGTTAAAGACGACGAAAACGCAATTTATTATGAGACATTAAATATGAAAAGATGCTATTGTCAAGGAGAAGCTAATGAGAAGGTGAAACTTCTCTTTTGTGTGAGGTTGGAGGACCACATATATAGCTTGCGGCCAACTTCCATGAATTAGCAGCCCCGCTTCTTCTACAGGCATCTGCACTCTGTGAGGAATGGAATTTGATTGAGTGGAAGACATGTTCCCCAATGTTTCCTATTATTCCCGGTTAGAAGCCAACGCACTCCACATTGTCCGTAGAAAATTTGACCGATGCGACTTATTCCTTTTGTAGCTCGTCGCTGTCGCCGTGAGCAATGCTTCTCACCTGAACGAGGCAGGTGATGGGGCTCCTCTACCTGCCCAGTTCTCTTGGCTCACAACCCTGCCTAACACTTCCATCCCCTCAATTAGGTCTCTCTCTCTCTCTCTCTCGCGTGCTTCCTTCATCTATATCTGTACATATACATGAGCAGCGAGAGATTAATGCAGATGCGCTGTGTACTTCTGCTGCTTAACCACGGCAGAGAAGATAAACGTATGACAATGATAGCCGCTCGTTTGTATTTGATTCGATCTAAATAAGTGCCGAATAATTTGACCAAATCGATTCTGAACGGTATGAATGATCACTGGATTCGAAGCTTCTTTGTCCGACCTCGATCTCGAGTAATGGTCACCAACAACTCGTCTTCATATAATATGCGAGGGGAAATGGCATTGTCGCCGGCCCTGGTTTGACCGGGCGGCTCCTTGAAGGCTCGGTGTGGTCAACCATCTCCATTGCCGGCTTCCTTTTTCCCAAGTCAGCTTTCAATCATGAAAGAGAAATGTCGAAGATGCCTACGCAGAGATGCCAAACGCTTTAATGCCACCTAAATATTTTAATCGCTGCCACTGCATTTAAAATCTAAAGCTGAGATTTGATCATTAATCTTCTGACAACATGCATGATTTCGTAGCTAATGCCCCCACATTCCTTCTGATCTCCTTGTTGGTCTCTGCCAACAGATGTGTGGCTGCCGACTCCACAAGAGTGACATGGTCGATCCAAAATCTGACTCTCCTCACACACGCTAAAGCAAAAAGTCAAATCACACCGACAAGAAGTCGATGTAATCAATCATCCACATGCAGACCGGAGAGCTGCGTCTTTTGCAGCATACATTACGTGCATTGAAATTTTCATGCAAAAGCGACGCTTACGTGCCACAAACAATTATCATCTCTTTGGCTTATTTCGCTCACTCGGGTGAATTAAGAGTGTCACCAACCCATCTCAGAAAGAATCAATCGAGTCTTTAATCATTGGAGTCACCACAAACAAGTTGGGCCTACTCACCAGCTGGAGTTTCCCCCAAGAGTTTCTGGAACATAGATGAGATGGGTCTTGGTCAAAGGAGAAGTTTACGATGATGGGAAAGCTGGTACTTTGACCATCTCTTTCAAGTCACTGTGTGCTTGGCGGCCTATCTCCTGCTCGTATATGGATGTGGCTTTGTTTGAATGCATCGTCGTCGGCAACTGGAGCGGTGATGCAACTAATCCTTTGGACTGCTTGCCTGTCTCCTCCTCGGTGTTGCGTGGCTGTTGGCCTCTTTTGCTTCAGAGACAAACAAAGGGAGTCCTTTTTTTAGTGTCTTTAAATTGAAGAAAAGAACCCTATGAACTGCTATCATTCACAAGACTGATTCTTGCAGCAGATTAAACGTTTGAATCGTGCAGAATGCAGTGCTTAAGCCGGTCAGATTCATGCAATAGGACAGTAAAGCTGATGCGGTTTGCTAGACTTTCGCTCGTGCGAAAGAACAGAAAGGCATGAAAACTCGGCATAATTATGACTTGGCTGTTCTTCGATCTCCATCCTTAATAGAAAGATTTTAAGAGGAATGATGAGAAATCATCAGCGTCAAGGCTTGCCCGTTCTCCCATCGCCGGCCTCAGTAGGAAGGCTAAAGACGAACGAAGAAGAGAGGCCTACGCGGGCACGGTAGGAGAAGCGAGGCGTGCGTGCACTCGCGACCTGCGCGGCGGGACCGTGTGGACCCCGCAGGCGCGCTCTCGCGCTCCCTCTGCTCGCGTTTACCTTTTCTGGTGTGATGATTCGCTGCTAAACCCGCACAGGGTTCAGGTTTTATGCGGATCGTGATTCGGTAAAAATGCGGGACCCTGAATGGAGGAGGAGAGAGAGTTAGAGGAGAGCTTGGATGTTGTGGTGTGATCTGACAGCGGATCCGAATCCCTTCGGCTACCTCAACGTTGAAGGGTTAGCACGCACTTGTCGAAGAGAAAGCGAGAATATATCCCCTTTGCTACTTCCTCTACTCCGCCACCGAGACGCGCCTCCACGGCGCTGCTGCTTAACGTGTCTTTTAACCCCAATTACATTGATTTCGCTCGATATCAAGAAGAAGGGTTTGATAAATAGACCTCGAAGGCTAACCCGAACCGCGGTCGCCTGTCATGTCCACTTCGCCGCCGCCCCCCTCGCCTTCGTCACCCGCCGATTCCCCTCCTCCGGCCATCCCCACTGCCCCGCCCCCAGCCACCCCTGCCGCGCCGCCCCCGGCCACCCCTGCCGCGCCTCCACCGGCTACCCCGCTGCCCCGCCTCCGGCCACCC